GGCTAGGAATACTGCAGTAGAAAGCCATTCCCTTCTCCAGGGATCTTCCCTATCCAGGGATTCAACCCAGGTCTCCTGCATTGTAGGCAGATTCTTTACTGTCTGAGCCACCAGGGAAGCTCCTAAATAATCACAGTTGCATTCTTTGTAATACAGAAAGCATGTACTGGAACCAATCAAATCCGTCAGCAAGGAAATGGATAAGTCAAAGTACTGCAGAGTATTAGGGAGTGATTCAAAATCATGTTTTTGATATATTTAACAGGGAAATAAATGTATAGTAAGATACTGTACTTTTTAAAAAGCAGTATATAAAAAGATGGTACCTCACATTTACTGTGTGCTTACACATATGTGTAAGATCATAAGGAAACACATCAAAATGTTAACACGGCTTACTTCCAAGTGGCAGGGTTACAGGTGATTATTAGCTTACTTAGATGTTCAGACACTTATTAAGTTCTCTATCATGAATATTCATCACTTTTATAACTAGAAAAGCTACTAAAATGAATTCATAGTTTTGCTAGACTAGAAATGAATAATTTTCACAATATACTTATAGACATTAACTGTAATGCATGTTTTAGCTCAGTGATTTCTTACTAGTAGCACCTTTTCTGTTGACCTTATAATGATAAACAAGAACTATTATGAAAGTTCCGTTATTTAAAGCTACAAATTGTCCAATAATTTTTTACACAACTCTAGCAAAACTGCTAACACCAAGATTAACAGCAAGATTTTTTTTGCTGTTAAGATTAACAGATAATTTTTTTCAAATAACAGCAAAAATTATCTCTGAGGTCTCCCAATTTATACCACAAAGGGAAGATACGCTATTTTCTCCAGCCTTAATTATATAATCTTGTTGCAACAGAGAAAACACTGTTATTACCTAGCTACATTTAATGAATGAAACTTTCTCTATTTTGTTTCAATGAACTTGCCGAGTGACTACTGTATTATTGAACAAGTCAAATTCTCACATTATACTCCATACTATTAAAACTGTTTCAAATTTGATAACTTTAGCACTAATAATTTGGTAGTAATAATTTTCTTGGCCCCTCAGAACTGCTTTCTAAGACAATACAAAATAGACACTTTATAACTACTGTATCTTTTTATTTTTAAGCTTCTAAAGCCTGTGAGGTACTAACTATAACACAGCTGGCTAAAACCAGCTGTTTTAGCTACCTAAAACCATTAAATAGAAAAAAAAAAAAAAAATCAGTCTAAGTGAAAGCAATACTTAAATGAATGCTGTATCTCCAAAACATCCCTATAAGAAAATATTAAAGAATAAAAAACAAACAAAACTTAACGGTTAATTCCACACCCTGTGTGATCTGCACAACTCATTCAATCTTTCTGTATGTACAGTCCAGGTAGTTTAGGCAACAGCTACTTACTCTAAATAAGAAAAACCTATTTTGAACATCAAAACTGTTCCTTTAAATCTAACAAATATCACTACAGCTAGGAGAAACAAAAACATTTACTTTCCCTCTTGTCCTTCAATTCTTGTGCTCTTAAGTGTTTAAGAACATAACAAATGAGTATCAGTCATTCTGTGGGTTCCATCTAACAATAACTTCTCTACCATTAATTGTCCATACCACACAGGTGGTGCTCATTTAGAATTACTACATGCACATCACAGCCAGAGATTCCTTATGACTGAGGATGCTTCTATAAACCAGTAAGTGAAATCATTTTCAGATCACATTCTAATGACAATCACTTTCACCATTTGTCTCTGAAACTCTGAGGTCTAAGTCAAGAAAGGCAAATCAGAGGAGAGACCAGTATTCTCATTCAACCATGTCCCCTCCAATACAACCAAGCTTTTCAAGCCCATGTGGACAAACTACCCAACTACAGTACAGTGAGGAATGACTATTACAAAGAGAAGAACAAAAAGTTCACCTGACAGCAACTAATCCTACAGAGTGAAACAAAAGCACAGGAGTGAGACCCATGGCAACAGCAAGGAAATAACGGCAGACTCTTCTTGGGACAGCGTTCTTGGGTCCAAAGCCACAGTTTCCAGGAGTTTCACAACTACAGCTTCCTTTCTATTAAAAAATTTTGTGTCCCTTGCTGTCACTTTGGGTACCAAAAAACTCCAAAAGATGTGAGATGCTATATATTTTGTTCACTGAGGCAAAGTTTACAAACTGAAATAAAATATTTCCTCCATCATCAATCTGTTACAAACAGAGAGTCCTTCACTGTTTTCCGTCTTAAAAAGAGCCAACTTCTCAGAACCTGATTTTACTGATGAGACTGCAGCTGTTGTAGGTTTACACATTTTCAAAATATCCTGTACCATCACTTACTAATTTGTAAAGATAACAAAACAATCTTCAAACATATTTTTATACTTTTTCACACATCAGCTTTATAAAACACACTCTGAAAGCATTGGAAGCCTCTGCTTACACTACAATTTCCCTTAGAGTAGTTCTTTCTCTCAAATGGTAAAAAACAGTAGTTTCAGGTGTGCACACATGAATACACAAAAAATATTTTCTTTATGGAATAAGATGCATTTATTACTTCTGACTTGCAATCCATGCAGACTACAGTTGTGTAAATGACTGCTAACCTGGAAGGAAAAAAAAAAAATTCTGAAATTCTCTAAGTGTTTATTTACCAAATAAATCAGTGAAATATCACACCACTGAGGTTTTATGTAGCCATCCTTATGAAAGTTCAAACAACTATGATTGTTAAATTTATATATTAAAAATGCAATGGTTCTTTTCAGTAGGAACTACTAATGAGTGATGTTAATACCCATGAGAAAATTTAAAACTCTTAAGACACTTTTAAAAATTAGCAGATACTAAGTACTGAATATCAAACACTAGCTACTTGCAAACTTCATTTAAAGATTTTAGAGAAACTTAAGAGGGCTACAAGTTACAGATAAGAAAAGGCCTCAATTAGCTCATGACCATAATGCTCCTGAGAAAAAAAAGTCCGTCTCAGTGCTGTGTGGTAACCTGTCACATACTCTGATACTCTTTAGCTAAAACAAGAACAGCATTCTCTCCCACAGCTTCTTCCCAACAATACAAGATTCAGAAAGGAGGGGTACTTGTCTCTGAAGCTATACTGATACATCCCAAGACCCCAGAACAGTACCTGGCACACAGTCCTCAGTATTTCCTAAATGAATGGAGTGGAACAACAGGTAGGGACAGGCAAAACAAGATATCAAAGAGTTAATTACACATAAAGATAGAGCTGATTAATCAGAATATCCACAACAGTGAGTTGATGTCAAATGTGAGCTATTCCACCTTTTAACAATAATCTTGTATTAGAAAAAGACAAGACTTCAAGAACAGCAAACTTTTCTTTAAAATTTATAAAACTATTTGAAATTCTGAATAATTCTAGATTCGGCTCATTTAGTAGGAACTGATTCAGTAAGAAAACTATCACTACTCACAAATTCATAAACCCAGTTCACTGTTTATAAAGGAAAATGTGCAAGTGAGCTTCATCAGAGCTCTTCTGTCAACATTTGTTACTTTCTTTGTACTGTCTAACGACTACCTACGGAAAAAACTTCAGATGTTCAAAATCCCTTTAATGTGCCTTAAAACATCTAATTCTCCTGATTATATCCTACCTTTATTTACATAAAGTCTGAAGAGTCTTCACACAGGCATTAACATTTTTCTTATTACCATCTGGGAATTCTGCATCAGGTCTATTTTTTCCTTCTAAATTTTTAGAATTCAGGGAGGTCCTCAAGTTCTCTAGGTCGGTTTCTTACTCAACTAAGACAATTATATTCATCTTTCCTCTAAAGTGAAAACTACACTTTAGAAAAAGCATGCTTTAAGAAGTGAATACAAACCCTCTCTTCACCGCCCACCACCACACAATATAACGGGCTTGTGATTCTAAGACAGGAAACCACAGCTTCTTCTCTAGTTGTCCTGGTTTAAAATCTTCTATTTAAATCCTAGTCTGTCCACCTTGACGTCTACCTGTTACAGAAGCGACGGGAGCACGTATGCCCAGTTTCTCTGTCCCAAGACTACACTCTAATTGCTTGCCATTGGCTATCTGACTCAGATATGACATCCAAAGTTATACCCTATAATACTTAACACCAAAGGGGTATGACTTAATTTAAGGCCAAAAAAGGTTCTAAACAAAAATACTTTTGCTGTCACTAAAACCTAGAGTAAAGCAACTCACGGTGATGATTACTTATTCTTTTGGGCTTCCATGGCTAGGAAATGAGAAACCAATCGTCCCATTTGGTTTCTCTTACTTCCCCTGCACAGTAGTTTGTAAAGTGCACTGGAAGGTTGCGAATGAAAGATTCTGTAAACACACCGGCGTCGTTAAGTGTATTACTACAGAGCATTACGCGGAACGTCTGTCACCGCGTCGAGGGTAGGTGGACGGCAGAGCTCTTCCCGGGGACGGGAAGAGCGGGAGGTCCGTCCCCGGCATCTTTTGGCAGGCCATCCTTTAGGCATGGTGATTTTTTTCAACTGCTGCGAAACCTCACGTGAAAAGTTACACACACACCTCACACCGGGAGAACGTAGAAGGTCCCCGTCTTCGCAGGGCTGGGAGTCCCGGGAACCGAGCAGGAGCGAGAAGCGGGGTGCAAGGGGTGGGGCCTACACCCCAGGAGCGCGGCGAAGTGCCGGGACCGGCCGAGGGGCCCCGGCCGCAGCCGACGCCCGCCGAGCGACGGGACGCGCAGCTCCGGGGCGGGGGGGCGGCGCCGGCCTCGGACGCCGGGGGCGCGGGGAACGGCTCGGGAGGGCGGCCACGCCGGGGCCTCGCGCCGCCTGGTTACCGGGAAGGCTCGAACCCCGCGACCAGTGGCGTGGGGGATGGGAGGCCGGGCCTGGGTCCTGTTGGGGGGGTGGGGAGGGGGGTTCAGCCAGGGCCTCGCGTTCGGCTGTCAGCCGGGCCCCCCGACCCGGGGTCCCACGCGCCGAGAAAAGACTCACCGGAAAGGCCCGGATCCGCATCTTGGTGTCCTTCCGGCTCCCCGTGCCTCTGCTCAGATTCGACATGGTGCTCGTCCCCTCCCCGGTGGCGGCTTCGGGTCTCACTGCGATGCGCCGGTGTCACATTTAAGGCGGGCAGGCAGGCGAGGCGCGACGCTGGGGGCGGCGGCGGCGCGGTCTCCGGCCAGGGCTGGGGAGCTGGCCGGCCACTGGACGGCCGCGGCACGCGCCGCGGCGGCTCGGTCTCCGGCGGTTCGGGCTCGGCTGGGAGACTGCGCTGGCGCGGCGGATCCCCTGGTCCTCCCTCACGCCCGGCTCGGCTCCCTTTATCGCGCTCCTCCGCGATGGCGGCGGCGACGTACAAACATCTCACTGCGCAGGCCGAACGTCCTCCCCCTCCTCCTTGTCTACCTCCTCCGCCTCAGCGAGACGAGATCCGGCCCAGAGGGTGGAGCGGGGAGGAGTGAGGGAGGAAAGCCTGAGAGTGGAGAGATTGGGGGGAGGGGCGGTGGGTGGACAGGAGGGGGAGGCGGGCGGCCGCGGGAGGACGGGGTGCTCAAGTCTCGCGAGAAGAGAGCGCGCGCGCTTTCCCGGGTGGGGCGGGACGAAGTCTGAGAGCTGGAGCGGGTAACGAGAGAGGAGGAAGGGAACGGGGATTTGGGGAGGTGGGAGGGGCCAACGGGGCGGAGAGGTAGGAAAGGGGCGGGACTGAGGCGGGAGGAGTAAGCTGACTTTTTGAAAGGGGAGCGTTGGAGAACGGATCCTGGTTAAGGGGGCTGCTGATTGGTGAAGCGCCGGGTGAGGGGGCGGGGTCCTGTTCACGCGGAAGGAGTGGGCGGGGGAAGTTCCGAGACCCGGAGGGCTCCGCTTGGCTGGACCGACCTGACTGGGCTGGGCTAGAGCGGGAGGAGGGTAGTCTCGGGGTGCAGCGTAGGGTGCTAGGTGGGTAACCGTATCCTGAAACCGGTTCCTGTGTTTTTCTAGAGCAAGTGGACTAGGGATGGGTACTTGACCAGAAGCCAGAAAGTTGAAAGAGTTTGCGCAGGAGTTATTAATATATGCAGTGTCAGAAAGTCGAGTCCTGTATGCCTAACAAGGTATTCGGATTGGATGTGCACACTCCAGCTGTCGGGATTGAGGGATGGAAATCCATAAAATTTCCTTAAACTGCATAAGCTCTGGATTCACTATTGTCTGAGAGACCTAGAAATTACTAGTATTAAAATTTGTGTTTCGTTGCCATTGAAATAACAACTCCCTTAACGCAGTGCAATATTTTGGTAAATGGTGTTAAATAGAAAATAGAATGATAAAAACCTAACCTTAACCTGCCAAATCATTTTGTCCATTACAAGAGTATGATACAGTTTGAAAGCAAAAATTTTTGCCCTTCAGTTTGCTGATAATTTGGGGAAAGAAAAGTTTGGCATTGCGTTCAAAAAGTCTAGTTTGATCAGTTTTGCTTTTCATTTATTATGGATATTGCACCCTAATTTACCTCTTTGTATTGTTATATTTGGATTTCTGACTGCAGAGGAGTGTGTGAGTTCCCACTAAAGTTTGCGATATCATTTTAAGTAAGAACCTGTTGGGATGAATATTAATAGAATATTAACACTTTTTAAATTTATTTTAATGCCTTTTTTTAAGCTGAAGTTTAATTCTTTTTAAGCATTTGGAAGATGGGTGTTTTGTTTTATTAATGAATGAAATGGAATATAACTTTTTGATTTGTTCGCTGTAAAGTTGGATTTTCCCTAAATTTACTTAATCCTGATAACTAGATTCACCAGTGTTGTGCTTTCACCACTTACTTGGTTGAAATGCCCCACTGAAAACATTTTCTTGTTCTGTTTTCTGTTATTTAATAAAACAGAGCTTAAGAAACAAGGAAATGGCAACCCACTCCAGTACTCTTGCCTAGAAAATCCCATGGATGGAGGAGCTTGGTGCAGGCTACTGTCCATGGGGTCGCAAAGAGTCTGGCACGACTGAATGACTTCACTTCACTAACAATTTAGATGTTGCTTGAAGCAATACCTATGTAAATACTGAAGCTAAAAATAGGTCAAGAATTTTGTTGATAAATTAATAATGGGAGGGACTCTGATTTAAATGTCAATTACTAGGAGTCTTGGATAGGAGATTATAATCTGTATGCTGATTGAAGCTTCGTTTCCATAATCATTAGACGATATTAACAAGCAATGTTTTTGTATTGGTTGCAGTGTCAAGTGGCTCAATTTCTTTACAAGGTAAGAGCACCGCTCTGTCCAAGGGATTCTCCAGGCGACAACGCTGGAGTAGGTTGCCATTCCCTCCTCCAGGCGATCTTTCTGACCGGGGATCAAACCCACATCTCCTGCATTGCAGGAGGATTCTTTAATGCACTGAACCACCTGGGAAGCCCTTCTACTCTTTTACCGGATATAGTTTGTGTCTTTGGGGGCAAGGGCTAGGCTGTTTGTCTAGAGTTCCTTATCTGTGAAATGGAGATAAAAATAATGTTTCTTCCTTGGGCTACTCTGAAATTTAGATGATAAATACATTTTTTAAATCCCTGAAAGCAGTGCTCAACACAGAGTAGTCACTCAAAACCTGTCAGCTTCTATTGTCTTCAGTAATTAAGGCCCAGCTTATACTGTCTTCCTTTATTCAATATGTAGGTTTCTTTAAGAATGCTGTATGCTTTTACAAAATGAATCTTACTTGGATTTCAGAAACCAATGAAGTAGTTTTTTAAAACACTAGAGAACCAGTGTAGGGTTGTCAACTTTATTTGGCAAGTAAGAGCATTAGAGGGATTCCCAGGTGGCTCAGTGGTAAAGAATCCCCCTGCCAATGCAGGAGTCACAGGAGATGCCAGTTTGATCCTTGGCCTGGGGAAATCCCCCAGAGAAGACAATGGCAAGCACTTCAGTATTCTTGCCCAGGAAATCCCAAGAACAGAGGAGCCTGGCAGGCTACAATCCACGGTGTCACAAAAGAGTTGAGCCCGACTTAGCCAGTAAAACAGCAACAACAAAGAGCGTTAACAGAAAATAAATAACTGCAAGTATAGACTAGCTTCATTATTTTATTTTGCTTTTTTGAGTATTTTAACCACAGAAATGGAGGAAGGTCAGTTTGTGAATGAAGAACAGTTCTTTAGAACAATGCATTGAGCTGATTTTTCTTCTTTCAGAGTGAACCTGAGAAAACACCAGCATTAACACCACACTAAAAGCCAGCATTTAGGAACACCCCCTGCATTAAAGCATATGTCCATGTAATTGTGAAGCGTATAATCTCCTTTTGTTTTGTGAACTCAGATTTTCATATTATGGTTTTACTTAAGCAAAGTTTAGCTGCATTTTAAAGAATCACTCTCTACTGTCTCCCTTTAGGTTGTTAACCACAAAGACCCAGAAAAATTCTTCAAAATGAGTTTGTCTGCCACTGCCATAAAAAATTCTATTGCTCATTTATTTATTCATTTACTTAAGAAATATTTAATTAATGGCTGCCATATATCAGGTGGTAAGGTAAATAAGACAGATGAGACCTACCATCACAATATTTGGCCCTTCCTCCCTCCCCCATCCCCAAAATTTGGAAACGACAGGTCCATGCTGGATTTGGCAATAACCTTTTTGTACACTGTAGTCCAGAAATCAGAGCTTTTCCTTCCTAGAAAATCAGCGTCCTCAAAATGCCTATGAAATATCCTCTAAAGCAGCAGTAGACCATTCTCCTAGTCCAGTCGTATTCCCTGACCTGCAAATAGCAAATGAACTTTCAGGATATTCCTTTTTCTGTCAACTGCCACCTGATCCAGCAGAGAAAGGAGCGCGGGACTAGGAACCCCCTAGATGTTACATGCCTACCAGTTGGTATTCCCACTTATGCTGACCGTGTCCTGACATGGAAAATTGTGGAGAATTGTGGCCCCATTTCCATTTATTTGCAGGGAGCACGTGCAGTCAGAGAAGCCAGGAGGCTGAGTGGACCTGCCTCTTTTCTACATCCCAGTCTAGAGATGGGCAGTACAGACTGTGAAAAGCCAGTGAAAGGCAATAGCTTCTTCTTGGCCATGAACTTCCAGGTATCCAGCATACCGAGCCACATTAATCACTGCATCATACCTAGTGATTTGATTCTGCAGATATTGCTTATGAAAACAGCTGACAGCCTACCAATTTATTTGGAAAGATCTGCTCATTGGCTTTAAACAGCAAAGGCTGTTAGGGGAAGATGCACGTTCAAATTGGAAGAGAGAGATTTGTAGATGTTATCACTTCCTTGAAAAGAAGGGCTCAATCTACTTTCTTCCTTGTCTCCACCAGGCGACTAGTAAGTATTGTAGGCCATTAAATTTGTACATGTTTAGAGCAGTAGCATTCATGTTTGCTTTATAAGATGGCATGTTATAGGAGTATTGGATTGACAACATAATCACAGAAAAACTGTAGATCTTTTCTACTTTTTACTGTTTTTTTATAGGTATATCGTCTACACAAGAGCATTTAAGACCTATGAGCATAGGAAACAAGTTACATCTTGAATTAAAATCTTAAATGCCCATTGTATTGTGAGGCTGCCAGGGCTAACACCATGACAGGCGGCCCGGACCTAAGTTTCAGGTTCCCCCAAAATGGTAAGATTCCCTACCCCCATCAGGCCACCTGGAGCCAGCCAATCAACATGCGCCCAGTAAGAAAAAGGGAATCTATCAGGGGAAAGCTGAAAAGCCCGCGAACACCCAAGTTTGAAAAAAGCCCGTGAAAGTTTGGACCAATGAAATTGCTTTGCAAACAGGTAACCAATCCGCTTAAGCCAGCTACCAACTGCTTATCCTCACCCTATAAATTTGTGTAACATCTTGGGCTCGGGGCTCTCTGACCCCGCACCTCTGCGTTGGATGTGGCAAGAGCCCTGACTTGAGTAAACTTCCCTTTTTGCGAGTTGCATTGTCTTGGAGGCATTCTCTCTTCCCAATCGGGGATTCGGACATCAGGCATAACAGTATCAGAAAAGCCCATCTCAATTTTTTATCACATGTCATGCTAAACAAAATCATCTCACTG